TGCCAAATCAGTTTCTCTGATTGGTTGATGTGGCATGTCGAGCAGCAAAAGTTCTATTCTTCCAACTTCAGCAGCTGCTGCTGCTTCTGAAGCGCGTCACGTATCAGATTCTCAGAAGCTTATTACTCGCTAATCCTGCTGCTCAAAACGCTGCAGGACCCTTTGCTGCACCTTGATGTGCATCAACCAGTGACTTTGCATGTAAACTAGCTGCTTCTTCTGCCTCTGCTGCAGCAGAGGCTCTGAACTTAGCTTTGCTTTGCTAGTGTTCTGCCTTAAAGGTCGTCTTTCTCTCTGATTTTTAGTCTCATCTTCTTTTTGTATTTCCAATAACAGGATTTTTTTTTTTTAAGTTTAAAAACACAAACAGTTCAAAGATTAATGTTACATTTGAAGTGCTGAAAAAAAAACAGTTTGTTGTAAATGTGATATGATTACCCGTGATTGATAATGTTGATGTTTCTAAATGAGACACAGATCTGTCTGTTCAGTACTTGGTTTGTTCTGTCTTTTGTGGCGTCATGATGTGCTTCCTCTTTTTCATTGTTTTCATCAGACCAACATGGAAGCTCCCTTCAGACCTGTAGGATTGAGAAACACAAGTAGCCATGATGCTAAAAACATTCCAATAAAAAGTTAAACATGTAGAAATGGCACAAGTTTCCTTTTTATAAGCTTTTATTTCAACATTAATATAATCTGTTTATAGTTTGATGAATGTTTCATGGCTCTCGTTCACTGAAAGGACATGAAGTGGATCTGCAGGTTTTGTAGTAGAGCAACCCTTCCTGTTTGCCTTTGTTCCTGTCTCTACCTGAAACCCTCTCTGTCCTGCAGGTGTTTTTCCGAGCGGGGACTCTGTCCCGTCTGGAGGAGCAGCGCGATGTCCAGACCAGGAATAACATCTCGCTGTTCCAGGCTGCCTGCAGAGGCTATCTGGCCAGACAAGCATTCAAAAAGAGGAAGGTAGGGCCCCTGATGGCGGATTCACTGTCCTCTGTATAACGACTCTTCATGAATATCTGACAATATAAGCTGGTAGTCAGGGTTAAATGATAATAACACCTTATTGCCCTAGAAATAACCAACACAAACAGACACATTACTTTCCCGCAGAAGAGGAGATAAGAAACAGAAAATTTTCTCTCCCTGAGTCGTCTGTGGTCAACTCTGCTGGGACTCTAACCCCTGCCTTTGTCAGATTTCAAAGGAGTAACAGGAGGGGTCAGATGTTCACATATTCAAAAAGGGGGTGCAGGTTTATTGCTGTTGGTTATCAATCACCTGCATCAGCATAGCTGGATAAGACGAGGCCCTGGCCCCCGCATCCCCAACATCACAGGAGAAAACTAAGCTAACAGTGTAGCTTCACTATTTGCTGCACAGTTAGGATTGAATTCGGATTTCTACCATGTTAGACCCTGAACCTTTGTGGGCCTTTGATTCTGTTGACAGATCCAAAATCTCGCCATCCGCTGCATCCAGAAGAACATCAAAAAGAACCGCGGCGTGAAGGACTGGCCATGGTGGAAGCTCTTCACCACCGTTAGACCTTTGATAGAAGTGCAGCTCACTGAGGAGCAGATCCGCGGGAAGGATGTGAGTGTGTCGTACCTACAGAACCAGTCTGCGTGGGTTTGGGTTAGGGATATCTTCTGCAGTAATAGGAGAACAAAAATACCCTGCAAATTCTTCATTAAAACACATTTTATTCTGCGTCCTTTCCTCTGAATATTCATAGATTTTATTTATGACCTTTCTCTACGTCTTCATCTGAATGCTGAGCTAAAAACCACCCAGACCTGCTTCTGTCATGACGCCTGTCTGTTTTCTCACAGGAGGAGATCCAGCAGCTGAAACAGAGGCTAGAAAAGGTGGAAAAGGAGAGGAACGAACTGCGGCTCAACAGTGACCGGCTGGAGAGCAGGGTGACTTAACAACTCCCCACACATCTGAAGGGTTCTGATGATAAATGATTGAGTTTGAAGTTGCTCAGGTTGTAGACACAGGCGCTGGTTCTAAGCTCACAAACAACTCAATGTGGTGGAATGAGTCTAGTTACCGTAGTGTTACCTGTACCAAAAGCTAACAGGTTGGTAGCTAACCTGTTAGCTACTAAACACAGCTAGCCACAGCCCTCACCCTTTATATAGGCCATTTCTCAATATGTGTACTTGTGCGTTTTCATGTGATCGTGTACTCGTGAAACGTAATCAGCCTCAGCCCTAGTACTGTTCCAATTCACAAGAACAAGAAGACCGAGAACGGCTCCTGGATGTTGTTCTCACCCCTCCCTCTTTACCCAGCATGCATCAGATCAGACTTGTCCATTCTTGAGATTGACAGCTGTCCCAGCATGCACTGCGGCAGCAGCAGCTTCCAGTGGAGCGCTCACACAGCTGTGTTAAGATAACTTTTCTGTTGCTGTTTTAAGATCATTTCTAGGAGTGAACGCTGTACTTTAAGCTTCACTATATGGCCTATTTACCGATTTAATGCATAATAAAAAAAAAAAAATCTGAAGTTGAGAGGAGCGCGGCAACCAGTGGAGCTCAGAGGGTAGCCACAGCCAGGGCTAATCCTAGCCCGTCTGCAGTAGCCCTCTCTTAGCATAGCCGTGTGTGAAGGGCCGCTGCCTCTGATTATGATTTTTTTGTTTTATTTGGCAAAATCTTGGTTTGATTTATGTTTATCTGACTGTGTTAACTGTTATTCCCCCAATTAATGAAAAAAGTAAGAATTTATTATCTAGAGACTATTAATAACAGGAGGTGAAATGCAGCTCCAGATGAGCTGAGCGTGTGGTGATGTCATCAGTACGCTTCTGTTCCTATTGACCCATATTTACGCTGCGTGCTCCAGTTCTCCCGCAGTCCAGACTTTCCTGTGTTCTTCTCAAGATCATTCTTGGCGAGGTCTAGCCGTTTCTTTTTGCACCATAAACATATTTTTTTAGTTTTGTTATCACGTAAAACTTCATCCGTCATTAGACACGCTAACAGATGCTCCCGACTCAAACTCAGTCACCTAATTTACCGACTGACCAAGAAATGTGTCAGTCATCGCCATAAAGTGGAGGAGAAACTATTTTGTGGATGTTGGTGATAAATAATTATTTAGCTTCTTCTCTGTAAGACTAATGGATAGTGAAACATTAGGGTCAGAGGTCATGCAGGTTAGAATTGTTTTAATTACAGCTTGTTCTCCTCAAGTTTAACCCTATTTAATAAACATCTAGTTGATTGACTGGTTGGTGAAATGAGTTTTGAGGTTTGTTTAAAACTTACTTTCTGCTTCATGTTCTAGTTTATAAGCTTGGTTCAGATTAGATTCCGGTGCTTTTAGAGGAGCAGAGTGGAACAAAATCAAATGTTGGACCATCAGTGTGAGACCGTCTGTCCCTTCAGGTCACAGAGCTGTCCACGGAGCTGACTGATGAGAGGAATACGGGTGAGTCTGCTTCCCAGCTGCTGGAGGCCGAGACCTCTGAAAGACTGCGTCTGGAAAAGGACATGAAAGACCTGCAGGTAGAACCTATGAGCTGCTTTCGTCCTCTGCTGTTTTTTGTTTGGGTTGTCATGGTAACAGCTGCTCTGCTCTGTCCAAAAAGACCAAGTTTGACAGCATGAAGAAGCAGATGGAGTCCATGGAGATGGAGGTCATGGAGGCCCGGCTCATCAGAGCTTCAGAGCTGAATGGAGAGTTGGATGATGATGACACAGGTTAGATGACGTTTCCACAGCAACACACAGTTACTCAGCTCCTACCTACCTACTTCTGGACAGATTCCATCTCTACTAAAGGCTGTATGACACCACAATTAAAACACCTGAAGTTCTGAAGGCTATTTTTTTTTCCTTGTCAAAATAAACATTTCAAACCAAATTACATTCTTTATATCTAGAATCAACATTCTGGATGTGTAGAAATTAACATATGCTCCACTAATCTGGAACAAACTCCCAGTAAACTTTAAAAGTGCTGAAACCAAGCCTGGCCAGCCAGACGGATGGGACGTATCCACAGAATATCTGGTAAAGAGGTGGTAGAGCTCAGTTTCCATTAGGGCTGCGACTAAAAGTTATTTTGCAAATTGATTAATCTGTCGATGATTTTTTGAATCAATTAATAATCGGATAGGAACAGGTTCCTTATGGAACACAGTTTAAAAAACATTAAACCAGGTGAAACTAAAACAACAGCCATTATGGCATGTATACAAAAACAAGTGGAAACTGGGCAGTTAGATACCCAGGTTAAAAGCTCTCCTTCAGTTCAGCATTAAATATAATGTGAGAATCCTGGTTGCAGGTAACCACACGTCACTTCATTTCCAATTCAGACTAGATGCTTCTGTTTTTGCCATTTTTTGTGGGTCAGGATAGAATCAGTTTGACTATTCCAGCTAAAGAGGCGTTCTGTGAATGTGTCTGTGATACAGGAGGAGAGTGGCGGCTGAAGTATGAGCGAGCCATCAGGGAGATCGAGTTCACCAAGAAGCGACTGCAGCAAGAGTTTGATGACAAGCTGGAGGTTGAACAACAGAACAAGCGGCAGCTGGAGAGGCGGGTGAGTGGACACCTTGGTTTGCTGAGGCTGGTGTGTCCGGTTTCCAGCCTTTTAGTATCCGATGAAACCCGTCTGCCTTCTTCCATCCAGAGACTGATGATCCAGGCGGCAGCCTTCGGCTCATAACTCTTCTCTTATTCAGGTTTCTTTAATACAGTCGGCGTTGAACACATTTCAAGATCTCTAAAGGCAAATAAAGCAGAAGTATCAAGCTGCTGTTGGTCAAATACATAAACCTGAAAAGGTCCAGACACAGTAATGTCATGAGACATTTATGTGACAGATTTAGGGCTTTTCTGGAAGATTCCTCTACTCCTGATGAGGGGTGAGTCTAGTGGAAAACCATAGGATTGATTGGCCATTTCAGCAGGAAAAAAGCATTGACTTTTTCACATTTAAACAGGTTGCAGACCGACTTTTATACTGTCAGGGGTTTGGCTAAGTGGTTTAGGTCAGGTTTCTGTGGGATTTTGCTGGTAGGCTTCCACTGCTGCTCTGCAGTTTGGAGCAAAAGTTCAAAGAGAGGATGTTCCTATCCAATTATATACGGTTTATTTTTACAGCACCAATTCACAACACTTGTCCCCATAAGACACTTTTAAGTGACAACTTAAGCAAATCAGGTTGGTTCCGAGTTTTCTATCTAAGGAAAACCAGCTGATTGCATCAAATCATCGACTTTGCAGGATTCTCTTCTCCTGGATGAGCAGGCAAGTACAGTAATTATTAGCTTGGATTGTGGCATTGACTCTACAGCAATCTCTTATACAGGGCAAGCATGCAGCGACAGTAGAGAGGAAAAAAACTTCCTTTTAACAGGAAGAAAGACAAGAATCAGGTTAAGTGTGAGCGGCCTTCAGCCAAGGCCGACTGGGGTTCAAGGATACAGAAACAGAAACATTGATTGATACTTAAGCAGGAATGGCTGATCTGGAACACTCATTCTATATTAAAAGACTTTCACAACTTTTATTGTCGTTTTGTATACAAAATGTCTGATAACTGAGCTTTTATTCTAACTGGTACTGGGAATAAATGGTTTGTGGGTGTGTTTCCCAGTTTTAATTGGGATGTTAAATAAGGTTAAGTAGGAGTTGGATGGATATTGATTTGGTGGGTTTGATGTTCCTTGTTTCTGCTTAATCCACTGTTTCGCTATTTTTAAAAGGGGATACATCTTGCCGTTAATCTAAAAAGTCACTGGCTGCAATCAGCAATGACCTTTAGGATATTAAAGCTGGAATGATTTTTAATATCAGCTTCTATATAAAGGATTGGTTGCTTGGTTTAGTTTTTTTCTTTTTCTTCAGAAAATACTGCCCTCTAGTGGCTGGATGGAGTCCCTTAGTGCTTGTCAGATATAATGGCAAGAAAGACATGCTGTGACTTATTTTATCTGGGTTTCTTTACTCGCTTTTTTTTATTTTTTATTTTTTTTATAAAAGTTCAGAGAATTTCAGGTCTGCATGTTCTGCTGTTAGGGTTTCAGCAAAAACAAAATTTCCAAAATTAGTGGAAGTTCAAATATTGGTAGAAATCTATTTTGAAATCTATATTTTTTGTTTGTGTGTTCTTACAGATCAGTGACCTGCAGGCTGATATTGAGGAGTCTCAGCGAAACATTCAGCAGTTGAAGAAGAAGAATCAGCGGCTGATAGCTGAGCTGCAGGACACCAAGCTTCACCTGGAGGGCCAACAGAGCCGGAACCATGACCTGGAGAAAAAGCAGAGAAAGTGTGTTCACACGTCAAGCTTAACTGACAGGATCTGTGTTGATTTCTGCTTTAGTTTTCGGCCTTGCTGATGTCAGTCCAAGCTTCTGTGTTCTGATCCGGTTCAATGACTTTTGGTAGGTTTGACAGTGAGCTGAGTGCAGCCCAAGATGAGGCACAGAGGGAGAGGAGCCTGAGGGAGAAGCTAGCTCGGGAGAAGGACATGCAGAGTGGAGATTGCTTCAGCCTCAGACAGCAGCTGGAGGTGAGTGTCCTCCTGTGCCCCCCCCATTCAGCAAAGATACTGCTACATAGCTGGACATCTGATATTGCAATTTCACCAATTAGATGAGCCCTTGAATGACATATTACCTAAAAAAGTTAACAAGCCAAGAAGAAAAAAGATAATTTAAAAGTTCAAAAGTAAAGTTCAAAAGTTAATGTTTCTTTCACTCTCAGAGTGTTTTTCATGAATTTCTTACAGAAGCACTTTTGTTATTTTTCTTAATATATTCGGGCAAGTTGGCATTTCTTGTTATTACATTGACATTAATTCACAGTTCACAGTCTGACTTCCTTCTTCACTGAAACTTTGCTCTAGCTTCCGTCATTACGTTTAGCCTCTCACTTCCTCTTCCTGTTTCACTCAGTGCTTGACGTTGTCTCACTGGCTGTTTGTGTCTCGTAGGATAAGGACCTTGAATTGCGCACCGTCCAATTAAAGCTCGACCAGTTTGAAGCAGAGCTGCAGGATCTGAACTCCCAGGAATCCAAGGATGAAGCATCTCTAGCTAAGGTCTTTGTTTTTCCTGGATTGATCCACAGAGAAAGTCTTTGTTCGGATGTTTACCTTAGTTGATCTGTGACTGTAAACGCTGTGATTCAGATGAAAAAGCAGCTTCGTGACATGGAAGCAAAGATTAAAGACCAGGAGGAAGAGCTGGATGAGCAAGCCGGGACCATCCAGATGTTGGAGCAGGTAGAGATGGGCATTTGTTTCTTAATCACACAGGGCAGCTCTGTTGTCATGCTAGCAGTTGTCTCACACATGCTGTGTTGCAAACAGACCAGGTTCTCATCCTCTGGACTGGATGTATTCATGTGAATCTTTACAGGTCGGAGGGGAGCTGCTGATCTGCTGATGCTTTTCAGGTTTTCCACATTGTGTTTGATGATTGATCTGTTTCAGGCTAAACTACGGCTGGAGATGGAGATGGAACGTTTGCGTCATACTCATTTTAAGGAGATCGAAAGCAAAGACGACGAGGTGGAGGAGATCAGACAGTCTTACAGTAAAAAGGTCAGGATTTATTTTCTTTGTTTATTTTTTTTTCTTTATTAATAATTAATAACATATTTTCATGCTTGAAAGAAAAAGCTTCCCTTCATGGCCAGAGAAGAGTAAAGAGAGAAGAAAACAAACTGTGAGAGCAGAGGGGAGTCCATGCTTACACTGATTTAAACCTAAAGCCAGGCATACACTGTGCCATATTTTCAATCGTTACACACAACTACAACTTAAACTGTACAACGAAACCGCAGAGTTGTGCGACCCGATTCTCTGATGCAATCTACCTTCTCACACTGCACGTCCGAAAACCACACGTCGGACTGATCGGCAAGCGATGGTGCTGGTCCGACTCATCAATCTGGAAGAAGAAGAAGAAAAACTCTTCTGATAAATCAGCTTGTAGCTCTGCTTCAACAGCAGGATTTGTCCACGAACGGCTCGCGACGGCCGACTGAATTTTAAACATGTTTGATTTTCTCCCGACCTCAGGATTCCTGACCGGGAGGTCGTCATCAAAGGCTGATCGCCCCTCATTACCCCCTGTACACTACACAACGCATGACGTACGATCAGGCTGAATGTCGGCCGATTGAAAAAAAAACTTGCATGACTGGAGAATCGGCAAGAAAAGGGCTAAAAATCGTACAGTGTACGCCCTCTGCTGGTGCATCTTTTCTGCATTTCCTCCAGCTTAAATACCATGTGTAGATTTCTCTCTCTAGTCTGCAGATGGTGGCTGGCTTAGGGCAGGAAATCATCTCAGTTTATGTAAATTTTCCTGCTTTTAGTCTGTTTCATAAACCTCGAGAGCTTAATCTATCTCATCTTTAACTGATGTTTGGAAATGCAAACATATTTAGACACAATAGGAAGCTGCAGTCCAACAGTATGAGTGATTGATTACTCGACCCAGACCACTGGCAGAGAGACTTGGATCCAGGCTCTGGGCCTCTTCCTGTAGACGATAGCAGTGGAAACATTTACCATGACGAGGTGGATGAGAAGTTCTCTCATAGAGCAGTCCTGCTTTACTGAACCCGTTAGGTCTTCAAACGTGAGGTCAGAATCATGCTGTGTTTCTGCTGTTTCTACTAAAACAGAGCTTTTATAGCCCTTTAGCCACAGGTTCCATATAAATAAAGAAGGGGCTGATTTTAACCAATGCAGAAATGGTGTGAGAAACTCTAGCTGTACCCCTGCGCACTAGACGCCATCTTTTCAAAGCAGAAGCACCCCCTCTAGATATAGATGGTTACGCTTTGTCATGCTGGAGGCATCTAGACCCCAACAGGAGGGCTTGGAGAGTCCATCAATGTCAGACATAGAGAAACAAGGATCCTGCTTTCATGGTGTGTTTTATGTGTGTGTAGCTGAAGCAAATGGAGGTCCAGCTTGAAGAGGAGTACGATGAAAAGCAGAAGGTGCTGAAGGAGAAGAGAGAGCTGGAGGCAAAGCTCCTTTCTGCACAAAGCAAGGTAAGAGCACTGTGTTGGTCAGAATCAGGTCAGCAGTTCTGAATACCTAAGTCTTTGGTTCAGTGGTCAGTGTCTTCAGGTTTAAGGCTCCACTTTCTACACAAACCTGGACGTATGAATGCATCTTCACATCATAGGAGGTCCTGGTCGTGATTGGAGCTTCAGTGTTTTTTTAGTGCTTATTTGAGGTGCTGCAGAACCTCCTGAAAGTGACTCAGAACCCCAGAAACCCTCAGTGATGCTGATTTAAACCAGCATGTCACAGACTGGTGCCCATTAGTTGGTAAAATTTAAAGAGCTGAAAGCATTGATAAGTCTTTTATTACAAGCTGTAGTTCTGGCGTTTCCAGTTTCCTGCAGAACGCCACGAACACGCCTGTGTGTAACTGCAGCGTTTGAGGAACATTTACAACAAGACTCGTTTTAATCCCACTTCACTCATGTTACTGCCACCATAACGTCTCACATTTGTTAAATTTACCAAGACCAAAACTTTAGTGCGATTTGGAAAGGGCTTTTTTTTTTATTAGGATTTATATTGAAAATGCAATTAGTTGTTCAACACAAGTGTAATTGGATCTCAAAAGGGAGGAAGAAATGTACTGGTTGGATCAGACTTAAACTGATGTTCTTAGACTACAGTTACACTGAAAAGCTCATTAAGATTCACTTCATAAACTCAGCTGCACTACTTTCTAAATTAAACATGTTGGTTGCAGAGTCATGCTTTGGGACAGGATTGCTAGTCAGAGCTGATGGGAAGAGGGATGGAGCTAAACCCTGGAACATCGCTGAAAGAAAACCAGCATAAAGCTGCAGAGGAGCTGAGACTGGGCTGAAAAATGTACCTTCCAGCAGGACAACGGCCCTGAACATCCGGCATGATTTACAGCTGAAAGTTTATATTAAACCATTAGACAAGATTTATATGAAATAAAAAAAAAAAAAAACAGATATAGATCCAAGCACAAAGTTTCGTACACAGATGCGGAGTCTTTCCCATTTAAATGAGCTGTTTTGCTGCATTTTTGCATCTTGATTTTCAGAGCTGTTCAGATTTGTTTAAAAAAACAGACCCTCTCTCTTCCACTTATCGATGCTGCAGCTTTTTCAGTGATTTATCACTCAAATCTCTATCAAAAACATTGGGGCTTTTTTTATAATGTAGGGTT